ACCCTAAATCCCTAATTCATTTTCTCACCCTCTCCTCTCTCTCTCCACCCTCTCCTCTCTTTCTCCACCATCGCCGGCCGTCCTTTCCCTCCACCACCCCAGTCTCTCCCTCACCGGCAAGGCACTCTCCCTGCGGTCATGCACTCTCTCCACTCAAAACCGTCGCCGCCACCGCGGCTGCAGCAACCCCCATCTTCTCCACCGTCGCCGCCACCGCGGCTGATGCGATTTGACGCGGAGCCGCCCGCGATTTGAAGCTCGCGATCTGCTCTGCTCGCAAAAACCGTCGTCGCCACCGTGGCTGCAGCAACCCCCCGTCTTTAAACCGCCGCTGATGCGATTTGAACTTCGCGAAGCCGCCCGCGATTTGATGCTCGCGATCTGCTCCGTCTTCCTTTTTTTTTGCGTGGGTTGTTGCGGTGATTATTGGTGCAATGTGGGTGTTGGTGTGGAGATGAGGTGGTGGCGGAGATGGTGGATCTGGTTGCGATTTTTGTGTAGTGGTGCAGGTGGATGTGTTGATGATGGTGGCGGCATCACTGGTTGTGGTTGGCGGTGGTGGGGTGCTTTGGAGTAGCAAGATGAGGCTGCAGTTGTTTGTCGTCGCTCTGTCATCGTCCACCAGTGGTGGGTGCAGTTTGGTGATGATGGTGGCTAGGAGGCTTTACTGGGGGTGAAATGGGAGGTTTAACTGGAGGGTGGCGTGGGGTGGTGGTGGTGATGGTGTGTAGTCGGTAGTGGTGATTAGGTGCTGCGGTGGTGAGATGCCGGTGATGGTGGACTATCTGTGACCTTTAAATTCTACAATTTGTGACTAAAAATTAATCTGTGACTTTAAAATTCGACAATTTGTGACTAAAAATTAATCTGTGACTTGTAATTTTTTGATCCGTGATCAATAAAATAATCTGTGACCTGTAAAATTGTTGATTTGTGATCACGAAATAATCCGTGACCTCCACAATAAAAATGTGAGACGTGAGCCTTATTGTGTTATCAATTATTATAAACAAAAAATCATGTGTTGTGACCTGTGATCTTGACTGTGACCTGGACTGTGACCTGTGACCTGGACTGTGACTTGTGACCTGGGCTGTGACCGTACAAAAAATTCATGTCATCGGAATAGTCGTCGGAATCGGAGCAGTCGCCGGAATCGGAGTGGTAACCGGAGAAGTCGTTGGAATCGGAGACGTCACCGGAGTGGTCGCCGGAGCAGTCGCCGGCGTGGTGGGGGTGGTGGTGCTGGGGGTGGGTTAATTTTATATATATATTATATATTTATTTATTTATTTATATCTTTTCATATATTTAAATAAATAAATAAATATTTATAAATATATGTATATATAGGTCAAAAAATCTGATTTTTGAAATGTAAAAATTGTTTTGTTATTTTTGAAATAGGGTAAAGATAAAGTAGGGAAAGTGAATTTTTCCCTTTTTTAAACGTTTGTAGCCCTAATACATTTCAATTATTTCAGTAAGGTCACTGCAATAAATTCTATAAAATCAATGTTCATGTATGCATTTCCTATTATTAATTCTCAATTAATCAATATTCACATTCATTTAATTAATATAAATTACATGTCAATGTCTCTATTATTAATTTTCAATTAATTAACATTCATATTCATCTAACTAATATTAATTGGAATTTAATATTCAATAATATGTTCATCATTCACGTCAATGTATGCTAATTAGCATCCAGATTCACTTAATTAGAATTTAAATTATATTCATTTAATATAAATGATTTTAAGTATCCTAATAAAATAAATAGAATACACCCATCTTTTATAACTAATTATTATGACTGATGAAGTCAAATTAATTAAGCTCAAATTCCAAATCTTCAATTAATTTACATGCAATGAAACCTAGGATAAATTGAACTAGAGAAGTTTGTCTATAAAAAAAAAAAAGGGTTGAACCTCAACCTTAAGGGTCCACTACCGTCCCGCCCCTAGAGTATTGTGGAGGAGGTAAATCGCGGGATGTATCTCAACAAGCCAGAGTACAAGAACTGCTATACTGGTGCCCATAAAGAGTCCAATTACATACATTGTAAGAGGCAGGAATCGAATCATCACACTGCGGATGTCAGTTCAACTGAGACTACATCACTTATGTCCTTTGCACCACTAAACTTTGTCCCAGGGGAAAGTTTGTGTATACATACATACATGAGTGTGTCTGTAAGGGAAACAAAGGGAAGTCAAAGACCAGACAAGTGCTAAATCTTGAAGAAAAACAAAGTCAGAGACCAAACAACTAAATCTAGAAAAGATGCCAGTAGCCCAACTTTCTCCAACAACGCAAAACAAATACATCGTTGAGCAGAGACGCCTCTCCTCCCATACAAAATCCGGTGGAGGCGAAGGCGACGAGAAACTTAATTGAAACCCTACGTGTATAAAGGTCACTTATATAATAAATTTACACTTGAACTCTAATTCTCTTCTTATTGTTTTACTTATTTTCTTCTTGTTATTCTTTTTTCCCTCGAATTTATGACACGTTATGAGTATAAAATTCTAACTAATTGAATTAGAAAAATTAATTCTTATTTTCTTTTCAAAGAAAAAGCACAAGGGTCTAGTATATTTGTTGTGTATGTAGCTCATATAATGTAGAATACATGTTAACTGAACCAAATAAGTTAATATAGGAGCTGAGCGCACCGAGTGGAATAGAACGGATTGAATATATATAGACGATATAACCCTATTATTCATACTGAATAAAATCATCTCTGTTTCGCTCTTATGAATGTATAAAAACGATGTAGGCACATTGTCAATCCACGTAAGTTCCTGTGTTGATTTTCTTCTTTCACTTCTCTATTATTCATCATCTAATAACGCGTGTAAATCCAACAAAATTGAATTAAAAATAATAATTCTTCATTTATGTTCAAGTGAAAGAAGAATATTGCAATATTGATGCTTCGGAAGAAGCATTATGATCTTATCTATATTTCGTAATGTTAATGTATTGTTACTCTTGAAGAAGTGTAACTTTAATTTGAATAGTAGTAAAAAAATTATATTCATGACCCGAAAAACACAATCAAAATACATAAATATTCAAGAAAAGTATTATTTTGTTATCCTTTAAAATCAGAACTTCAAACAAATTAATAATCTAAAAGAATATTGTATTAATATCGAAGATTAGCTTTCGTACCCAAACA